TTACCATTCCAAACGGACATGCCATACAAAACGAGACTCGCTGCGTTGAATATGCTACCTCTCTGTTACTGGCACGAATATCTTGATATCCTGTTCCTCTTCAAATGCAAATATGGCTTGGTTAAAACTGATATCCTACCCGAAGAAGTTGACACTCTGACTTCAACCATAAATTTACGCTCTTCTAATAACTCTCTTGTAAAATATAACATTCCTAAAGTAAGAACGCTATGTCACCAGAACAGTTATCTTGTACGAGTATCGCGTGTGTGGAACTGCCTACCAGATGAGCTACGGAAACCAGAACTATCATTGCAGAGCTTTAATCACGTGTTATAAACTATTACCACTCCGCAACATTAACCGTGTTTGACCAGGAAAATCCGCAGACGTGGAAATCAGTTTGTCTGAAATGCCATAAAGCCAGGCAGCTTACTGCAACAATGAAATGTTGTTCTTAATTGAACTAGTTATTTTGGCAATTATTCAATGTAGTATATATATATATATATATATATATATATATATATATATATATATTATATATATATTATATATATATATATATATATATATATATATATATATATGTATATTCTCGCATTTATTCTGTTTGACAATTTTGTCATTTTGTTTCCAAATTTCGAAATTTTTACGCTCTCTTTCTACTTCGGATAAAAAGGATTATACTATATTCTTGTTTGATATTTAAATTATAAGTTGTGAAGTTTTGTATAATGATGTTTTGTAACAGGTCACTAACGTAATTGGCTCACGCTGTGTTAGTGTTCCTGAACCGTCTTCCTGTTTGTATGTGTATATTTCTGTTGACGGCTGAAGTTAAATTAAATAAATAAATAAATTATAGTAGCAATAGGAGTGTGCCATGACAATTCTGCCAAGGCAGACCACCAAAAACGGTCAGTCCCTTCAAGTACATAACCACCCTTATGCACTTGAAGAGGTAGTGCCTTGGCAGATTGCCATGGACACTTGACTCCATGGACTGACCGCAACGTACCACCAGCACCTACCATGGGGGGAAGGGGATTAACCGAATGTCGGGTTAAGAACAAACCAACACAAGTCAGACTAGCATAATATTTATATTCATTTTAACATAACACCCTAGTTACACTAGCTAATAAATTACGCGGCGTTCGTATATATGCCAGGTAAGCTGAACTGCTCCATCGTCCTAAAGTCTGGATCATATTCTCGGGGACGCCAGCCAGGCCCGCTGTAGTAGCCGCGCCAATCCGGAAACTATGACTGCCAAAATGACCAGTTATACCAGCCTGGCTCAGCAGTCGGCGAAGACGCTCTGTAAAAACTGTACGTGTCAAGGGGGCGCCATTGGAACGGACGAACAGAGGGCCGTCGGCACCTCCACGGATCTCCAAGTAGCTGAGTTGCGATTCGACTGGACACGAGGGAGAACGACCCTGACCCAAAGTCAGAGTGCACCCATGCCGAAAGGGATCGGTTTTAGATACTTTGATAAGCACTTGAAGACAAGACGGATCGCCTCTTCGGTCAAAGGCAACATCATGATGGGATAAGTGAAGCGATGGAGAATAGGAAATGCCATGAAGTACATGAAGTACAGTAAACTCGGATGATCGCAAGAGACCAAAATATGCCAGACAACAAAAGGCCCCGAACGTCATCGTAGACCGCGAAGTCCAAGCAGCGATAGATCGCGTTAAGAATGTCCGGGTATTTGGAAGACGCTTATCTTGAGAGCCACCTTTGCAACGTTTGATGCCCTTTACCACACGCTGTAAACGCAGACAGCCAACTAAGGGATCAAGATAACCATGTTCGATATGGAGTGCTCGTACGGCTGACAGGTAGACTTTTATGGACGCAGGTTTCAAGTTATTCGCCAACCACGTAGCGAAAAGGCAAAGGGTCCATTCACCCGACGGGAGAGGCGACCCATTTAAGTTCAAGCGATTTTCGGATTCACAAAATTGCAGAAATGAGCGTTGGGCAGAAGCGTAGGTTTTTTTGGGTTGACGACGCTAAACCGTGACGAAGAAAACTATGGCATTGGGTTTCTAGGTCCGTGGCGACAGTTGATGCAATAGGATTACTAGAAGAGGCGTTGGTAGCGATGAGCAATTGGGGTCTAGCTCACGAAACACCTGCCAATTGAAACGAGAGACACATGATTGAACCATTGTTGATGGTATACGGCGCCATATCCAATGGAACCCGCGGCATCGATGTAATCACCAGATCGGCTAATGGCAGGAGTCCAGGTAGTAGGAAAAAGTTTGTACCATTCCACTCCTCAATGAACTGGACCCACCACTGCAAATCTGATCGAAACTCCGCGTTAAGACGGATGGGGTGGAGCGGGTGGCGAAAAACGCAAAGAAGATTAATCATTCGGCGCAAAAAGGTACGACCAGGCCAAACCACATGGCATGCATGGTGCAGTTTCCCTAGCTGCGTACGTGTACACCATCGTTTCTGTTGATATTCTTTCAGGAGCTGCTTGAGAGCTTCTAACTTAACCTTGTGTAGACGCGCAATTTGGAGAATGGAATTTAATTCGATTCCCAAGACAAATAAACAGGACGTGGGACAGTCCGTTTTATTGGGATGTAAAGGGACGCCCAAACGGCTACAAACGGAGGAGGCCATCGCCAGATTATGCGCACATTGAGGGAGATGAGGTGGACCAACTGTAATGTAGTCGTCGAGGTAGTCCATAAGGTACGTCGGCGATGGCGTAGTTATTATGCAAAATCCATTCTATCGCATCCGCAATAGAATTGAAAATGAATGGCGCTGAACGTAAATGGAACGGAAGAGCAAGATCTGCGCATAACTTTCCCCGCCACTTCATGCCAAGCAGATGACGTTGCGACGGCAGTACAGCGACGTTACGATATGCGCTTTGGACGTCAAACTTAGCCATGAGTGCACCCCGACCTAATTTGTTGACCATGGCAACGACTTCATCGAATTTTATATACTGCAGAGAGAATTGTTCGGGGGTCAATACCATCATTAACACTACGCCCATGTGGTGACGACAAATCCAAAATCAAACGCCACTTTCCTAGTTGACCAGCCTTGGGGATCACGCCAAAACTGCTAACGTGCAAATTAGGTAGCGGGCTGCTAAGGAAAGGACCGGCTACTCGTCCCAAAGCGACTTCGTTTTGCAGGTACGCATCCACGATCTCAGAATGGGCAGTTGCTGAAGCTTTATTTTTTCGTGCAGAGGTTACAGGGAACTGGGGGAGAAAACCAATATCAAAGCCGTGGGCAATCCCACTGAGAACATAATTCACTTTGGAACGATCCGGATGAGACTGGAGTTCGCAGGCAAATTGATGCAAATTAAGAGGAGAAACCACAGAAACGGGAAAGAGAGAGTGCCTATAAATCAATAGAGGCGCGTATTAAGTATGCATCAGAGGAGTAACTATGTACGGCTAGGCTATTGCTAACGGTGTAACGGCTACACTACCACAAGCATTAGAATAGATTTAGCCAGAGCAAAGAGGGTCTACTAGTTTACAAGCGCAATGCTAGCCGAATACCACTGTGCGAAAGAGCGATTGGGTTATAATCCGCCAATAGCCATATTATTATTATTATTTAAACGTATTTATCCACGGTAACCTTTCAGTTGCCTGTTTTTCAAAGGGCCGTGGTCTAAAACTATTAAAAAGATATAAAACTAAATCTAAACCTAAAATATAACACACTAACATTAATTCAAATTGAAGTATAACATGCAAACGACCTTACAATGCAAGTAAACATTCGATAAAATTTCGGGAAAATTTCGCTATCTTAGCAATTTTTAATAAGCCTTTTGAACTGATTCAATGAAAGATGCTCATGTTCCTCGAGAATTTCGTTTGGAAGTTTATTCCATGACACTGCTGCGCGGTAGGAAAAACTTTTCTTAAGGAAGTTAGTGTTTGGTTTTGATAAGTGAAGTTTTCGTTCGTTACTTCTCAATGCATAATTATCGTTCTGGGACATAGTAAACATTTCTGTTAAATATTTTGGTGTCATTTTGTTAATTGCTTTAAATGTCATTGTTTGTTCACGTTGTTCGAGGATATTTGCAATGGGCTCCCAATTCAATCTATTTAAGATCTCTGTTGATCTTATTTCATACCCTGAGTTAGTGATAACACGTGCTGCTCTTTTTTGTAATTTACTTAATTTGTCGATGTGGGTGATATTTCCGTTGTGCCAAACTGTTGAGCAGTAAGTGAAATGTGGTAGGACTAGTGAATTGTACATTGTAATAAGGGCATTTTCTGTCAGAAAACTTTTTGCTCTTCTCAAAAGTGCAATGTTTTTTGAAATTTTTGCACATTGATTATCTATATGGTTATGCCAATTAAGTTGTTCGTCAAGAACCACTCCTAGGAATTTTTTGTTAGAAACTCTCTTTATCATATGATCTCCTATTAATATGTCAGGATCTGAATTTATTTGATTAAGCCTTTGTCTCGAACCAACAACCATATATTCTGTTTTCTCAGCACTTAAAGTTAGTTTGTTAGCTAATAGCCAATTATGAACACTGTTCAAGTCTGAGTTAATTTTTTGTTGAATGTCAGTTGCTAATTTTCCGTCACAGGATATATTAGTGTCATCTGCAAACATTGATGCTTTTGTAGACCTTAAGCAATTTGGTAAGTCATTGATGTAAAGTAAGAAAAGCAGTGGTCCTAGATTTGAACCCTGAGGGACTCCGTAAGTAATTGTAGCTCTATCTGATATTTCGTGATTAATTTTGCAAACTTGCTTTCTCCCTCTCAGATATGAAATAAACCATTGTAATGCTTTCCCTCGTACTCCGTAAAGCTCTAATTTTGAAATGAGTATGTTGAGGTCCACAGTGTCAAATGCTTTTTTGAGATCAAGAAACAGTAGACCATTAATAAGGCCCTGGTCCATATTTACAAGACATTGATTTACAGAATATAAGAGTGCAGTCTCTGTGGAGTGTTGAGTGCGAAATCCAGATTGATTTGTGGATACTATCTGGTGAAATTCTAAAAAATTATTTAGTTGCCTAGAGACCAGCTTTTCAAATATTTTTGCTACTGCTGATGTTACTGAGATAGGTCTGTAATTATCGCAATCCATCTTGTCCCCTGATTTTTAAAGAGGGGTTACCTTAGTGTGTTTCAAATCGTCTGGAAAAATTCCAGTATCGATAGATAGATTAAAAATTTGACTTAAGGAGCCGATAATGGTCTCCCCGGCTGCTTTTAATAGTTTGTTTGAAATTTTATCCAAACCTGTTGATTTCCCGGCTTTTGCTTTAAATATCTCGCATCTTAATTCATCCATTGTTATATTATTTAACTCGAATACCTCAGTCACTGGTGTCACGTAGTTAAGAGGGTCGGTATTGTTGCAAGATAAGTTCTCACTCAATTTTTCACCAATTGTAGAAAAATAATTGTTGAATGCTGTTGCAATATTTTTGTCACCAGTAACTATACTATCCCCAACTTTTAATTCGTTAATTAATGTGGACTTAGATTTTTTGTTCAATAGTAAATTGATTGTTCTCCATCCTTCCTTACTGTTCGTAGTACTTTCTAGCTTGTTCTTAAAGTATATAGCTTTAGTATCTTTAATAAGATTGTTAACACGATTTCTGCAATTCTTGTATAGTTCATGATATCTTGTCGAATTATGTTTAATTGCTTTTCTCTTTAGAAAATCTCTATGATAGCTCATATTCTTAATTTCGTTTGTCATCCAAGGGTTATATTCACTTTTTACCTTTCTTTTTAGTAATGGGGCATGAATGTCAGCAATTTCCAAAAATATTTCCTTCCATGTGCACCAGGCAGTATTTGCATCAGTGCAATTGTAAAACAAAGTTGAGTTAAGTGCTTGGTCAAGGTCTTGCTGGAAATTGTTAATGTTAAAGTGCTTGAATTGTCTTGTTTCTACTACTTTAGGTTTTGCTTTTGGAATACTAACCTTTCTGCATGCATAAACCAGGCTGTGATCACTAATTCCGAGGTGAATGACCCCTGATTCAACGATTTTTGTGTCGCCTATTTTTGTGATAATAATGTCTAATAGAGTTTTAGTTCTAGGAGTAATTCTTGTCGGGCTAGTGATTAACTGTTGTAGTTGGTATTCATTTATTAACTCAATCAATTTGTTTGTATGTTGGTTATTATTTTCAGTTGACAGAAAATTGCAATTAAAATCACCAGTTATAACAAAATCTTTGTCCTCTTCGTCAATGTTCTGTAAAAAATTTTCAAAATGGACAAGTAATTCTATCTTGGCATCGGGAGGACGATACCATGTTGAGATCAGTAGAGGTTTGCTGTTAGGCTTGTTAATTTCAATACAAATAGCTTCTACTGTACTTGAAAGTAAGTGATTGCAAATAGTGTAGGGAATAACATTTCGTATATAAATTGCGACACCCCCACCATTTCGATTTCGGTCTTTCCGAATAAAATCATAACCTGTGATATTAACTTCGTTGTTGTCAATAGTGCCGTCAAGTCTAGTTTCATTGATACTTAATATGTCAAACATTTTATCGTTCATAAAAATTCTTAGTTCATCAACATGCTTATATAGACTTGCAACGTTTAGATGGCCAATTTTAAAGCCTTTCAGTTTTGGATAAGGCGTGCTGTTTATTTGCATTGTTTGTCGTGAACTAGACTGTGTGTTTATTTGATCTACGATATGCAAAAATGTTGAATCAGGATCCGTAGTGTTTGAAAACTCAGGATCTAGTCAATGGCTGCTAAGAAATTGTCTTATGTTTTTAGCTAAT